AGCCTCAAGTTGGTGTAGTTTTAAAGATTTCACTTGTTTGGCTCATTTAAGAATCTCCATAGGATTCAATAGGCCCCACTAGTGGCTGTCATCATAAAATGCAATTTTATGTAATTTTTCCCGACCAGATGGCATCAGAGACACTCACTGACCTAGGTCCTGATGGATCATCATGTTTAAAGTATAAACATGCAGACATTGTGTCTTTCTTCGCTTTTTTGGTGAAAAAATGTATAAAAATATGCTCATTTTCATAAAAATATCCAGAATTTAATGTGAATAAAAAAAAATCACCAAAAAAAAATAAAGAAATAAATAACCAACATAAAAAATTAGGGAAAACAATATACAGTGGGTACGGAAAGTATTCAGACCCCCTTAAATTTTTCACTCTTTGTTATATTGCAGCCATTTGGGGTTAAATATGTCTGAGGAAGTCCAGGAAAGGGTTAAAATGAGGACCACCAACTGTAATGTTTGTTTGTGAAGGCCACCTTTTTCCCTCAGCTGGGAATCGGCCAGACGCAATTGGCTATGAACATACTTTCTGTCTCTTTCTCCACCCAGGGGGGCTGCCTCAGATAATTCATCAAATGAATACTCACGACTTCTGTGGTACCGACTTGGTTGCAGGCTTGTTACTGGAAACATTGCAGCGTTCTGTGAAAAGAATTTCACGGAAATATTAGAGAACAGGTTTGACTGCACACGTCCAAATACCAGCAATCTGGCACAGGATGCAATGTGTCAATAACACAGCATTTCATGATATTCTTTTATTGGAAATCAGAAGTTTAGTACTTTTTTTTGTCAGTACTGCTTGACATTGAATTTGGCACGAGCTCAAATGTGACATGTAGAAGCAAAATGTTTCTTACTTCCGTTGTATCCTGAGGTCGCATGCTGCGAATCCTGCAACAGAGAGAGAATGATATATTGAAAGACAACAACTACAAACAAATACATAATCCAACATAATAATAACATCCAACTGCAAAAAAAAAAAGAAAAGTGCTACATTCTGTGCGTTAACTGACACGGAGCAGCTACAGATGGGAAATAGTTCTGCTGAAAGCTTTAATTGATTTTACATTAATACAACTAGAGCAGGCACACAAATCACACTCGAGCGGGTGAGTGGTGCGGTGGAGAGACGTTTACATATGGATTTATAGAGTCAGTGTATTATTGGCAATGTCATCCAATCCAACTTGTGAGATTCAGACCATGTCCTATTATTAAGAGACAAATAGCAGACGCCACAGCAAAGAGAAAAGAGCATGATGGGATTTAAAGGGAACTTGAGTGTAAAGTCCAGTGCTTACTCGCACAATGGTTTTCAATAGGCCTGTTTTTTCAATCTGAAATATCGTTTCAAAACTCCTCTCAAAGAAAAAAAAAATACTGTAAATGTGATGAAACTGTCTAATAGAAAGCAGAATATCTGGCTACACAGAGTTACATAACTATCAGAAGTAACATGGGTCATGCGTTGCCTCAAAGCAGCTGAGAGGTAAATACATTTTGACATCATGCTAATGACATCCAACATCTCAGGACATCTGTCAAATGACATCAGGTGAAGAGTGATAAACAGGCGTCATGACAACAGCCCAAAGTCTGCTCAGAAAAAAATCAAGAACAACTTTTGTTTTTGGACTTTTACTAGAATATCTATATATTGTGTATAAAGTGTATAAAGCATGTGAGGGCATAGAAAACAACAACACTAGAGATTATTAAATGAGGAAAATGAAACTTTATTGCTAAAGCTAAATGACTTAACTATAAATTATAACCAAATTTGAATGACCTGAAGGACTAATCATGATGGATGATGTAACTGCTGACAGTTATCAATGTATTTAAAAGCATATATATTTTCAAAATTCTATGTAAAAAAGTTTATAAAAACTACAAATATATTTTAAAAACAGCCAATTTAATAAAAAACAAAGTTTAAATGGAGTCTGTATAAATGGTTTGAACTTAATTATCATCAGATAATTATAATCAGAGCATATGGCACTAGCAATGCCCCAGATTCCCAGAATGCACTGCACTGTGCAAATAATAATTTGATGGTGAACAAAACAACAGAGATGTCAATTAGGGTTGTGACGGTGAGGAAATTTTCCCACCGGTTAATCGATGTGTGACAACACCGGTAATACCGGTATCACCACGGGGGAGGGGGCGTTCCCTCTTTTCCTTGCTTTTAAATAGCTTGTAAAAGCGGCGTGCGCATTTTACTTTCACTTTCAAAAAGCGGCAA